TGCAATGCCGCCTTTTGTGCACCAGAGCGCACCAGGCTGTAGCGAAAGACCAGGTAATGAGAAGCTTTGAGAGCTGCCAGCCGCAAGGGCAAAGCCGCCTCGACTGAGAGACTCCAAACCCGTTCAATGGTGCACTTACAGGTCTTTCGTGACCGCTGTGGCTTCTGTGCTGTGACAGAACCAGGAAGCCCGCATATGCAACCGAACCATACATAATCCACTGTAAAACACTATGCTCGCTACTCGACTGTCCCTGAATGCAAAGCAAAAAGCAAACCCACCCGGCTCAGATGTTCTCAGCAAATGTAGGGAACATTCAACTCATAGGTCGCTGCAACAATCTGAAACATCTCGGGCTGTGAAGATGGATTCGATAGGTTGGTTAGATTAGACCTTCGTTATCTGAGCTTGCTTGTGTATCCGGCAGGAGCCAAGCTTCGCAATAGGCATTCAACACCCAGGTATACTTGTAGCGTGGGCCAAACCAGCACTCAGCTTCGGGATCTTGGTCTGCAACTTCATCCGAAGCCCTGCGAGTCTCAGAAGTTTCTGTTTGCTTGCATGCGTGTACACTGCACACGTTGTCAGTGCACGTGTACAGTGCACGACTACTTCCAAGTCGGAACCACGGTTCGCAGTTCCTGGCCCACAAATCTAGTCGAGGCAAACTGAGATGCAAAGCCCCCCCCCCCTCGGTCTCTTGCAGCAGAGCTGCTGTCTATTCATGTTTTCCGCCGCATCTACATCTACCTCTTCGTCCTCATCAGGCCCATCCTGCACCTCATGCCGACACGCTGCATCAGTAGCTGCTTCCTGCTCCTCTCCTGCCACCCTAAACTTCGCTTGACACGAGCCGTCGAAGTCTGCATGCCTTCTTTGTAGCTCTTGGCATATCAGATGCACGTGGTCTGTTGGCTCCGACAGAAGTGCAGCTGACACCTCCAGCACCCACCGGCGCCTAGCTTCGATAACCTGACTTGCACGTCGGGCGCTTGCGGCCAACCCAAAGCAGTCCAGAAGAAGAAGATCGAAGCCGATAAACTCAGGCAAAATGCATTTCGTCTGCATTTTGTGGAGTTCGTCTATGGCACACTGGGCATCACTGATGCCACAGAGGGCTTTCAGCAAAGCGAAATGCGTATCTGGAGTTGGACTATAGCCCTTCTCAAGCAAGCTGTGGTATACGTCCAACACGCAAGCGCTGGGCTGCGGCGAGGATATGCATGTTTCCATTAAGATGTGCAGCATCTTTTGCTGCATCATGGGGAATCCAAGACGGTCTATCAGCAACAAGGCTTCTCTGTGGAACGCGCCCATGTAGCGCAGGCACCGTAGAATGAAGCGCTGATGCGGCGCGAAGCCTGCTCTGTCCATCTCCAGAATCGCATCGACAGCCCCCTGCCCATCACCACAATATAATCGACCAAATATGACAGCACTGTAAAGAGCAGGGTTGGGCGGAAAAGCGGACTGGCACCTTAGCAGCATGCTTTCTGCAGCAGCCGCAGCGCCGCAAGCAAACAGAGCTTCGATGACTGCCGCACACGACTCCGTATCGGGAGTCAGGTGGCGGAAGAACAATTTGTTCGCAGCGGAGGCCGACATTTCCACATCCTCTTGAAGTTGAGCGTCTCTTACTTCAGCAAGGAAAGCCTGATCCTCCTCGCTGGATGCACGAAGCACTTCAAGTCCATGTGTGGCCAGGTCGTTGGCTAGACGAAAGGTCTCTTGCACGAGACCTGCACGCCGTCCCTTGCGCCTTCCCATTGTCCGCAGGATCTCATCAACATCTTCTCTAGACGGCCGCCGCTGACAATGCAGTTTGACTGTCAAGTTCACCAGCGTCTGCATGGCATCAGCTGTATCCTCGTCTGGCGGTGGCCCGGGCTGCTCCAAGTTGATTCTTTCACTTCTGTCCTCTGAGAAAGGATCGCGTTCCTTCAGTCCTCTTCTGGCAAGTTGCGAGGCATCGAAGCCTCTGGACCGGATCAGCTCCTCAAACTTCTTGGCAGCCGCGGAGGGCTCCAGCTTCTGGGCGAGTCGCGCCACTGGCATAAGAAGATGCAACTGCGCTAAGCGCCAGCGCTGGCCTCTCAGGCAAACTTCTCCAGGCTGCCTATAAGTGCCTAGGCCTCCTGTACTGAGTACTTTAACCTGGGGTATCTGGAGTTGTTGAGAGCTGTCGCAGTTCCATAGTCAGCAATGATGAGTAGAGTGAATCACCCGCACTCTGTCTGTAAAATTTACCTGCTTGTTGAAGAAGGCTCAAGAAACTCACTGCCCCTTCCCGCGGCAACATGATTTTTGGAGGGTAAGGAAGTATTCTGTGGTATTCCCGTGCTCATGTATTATCACTCTTTTCCGCAACATTTCGAACACGAAAGTGTGAACTTATGTGGAACTGCACACTGAACCACAGAATGAAGCCGAAAAGTCCGGGCTGGCATCGCACTTGACTTGAAGATGTTCTCTGTCCGTTTACTGTTTGCTTCCGAGTTGGCTTCGAGGCGTTGTGGGACTCGTTCTGGGCCCAGGGGATGACTGCTCTGTGCCAGAGGCCAGGGACACTTGCACATGCCCCGGGCCTAAAGTTTCCAATGGCCCCACGAGGACCGACCTTCCTGCCGCGCCCAGCTCCTGCACCTCCCTGCAGAGCGACCTCCAGACAGCGAATCGACAGAACCAGTCGGCATCACTTAGACTTAGATCAGTTAGCGCAGCCGAAGCCCCTGAGAAGACTGAAGACTACGGAACGGCACCAGCTGGGCCAGCGGCTCGAGCAATTCCAAACCATGTTCCAAGACCTCCTTGATCCAGTCAAGCTCGGAGACATGGGACGGAGTCTGCTGGCTCACCGAGTCCTGCATGTCGAACCTACATAGAACCCGAATTGAGTAAGTAGCGAGCTCAGCTCCCTAGTCGGCTATCCGTGACTGTCCGAATCGAGCTACTCGTCCTGCCAGTGGCTGGATTCCACTGGTGCGAGGCGATTCAGGACAGCGACGTGGCCCGCGATGAGTGCCATGAGGTGACCTTCCCGAGAACTGAGCCAATTTGGCAGCCCGTCTGTACACAGAGTGGTCTTGTCCGTCGGAAAATCTGCGGGACTTTCCTTGGCTGAGAGTGACGGGGAGTCGTTGGCTCCACTGTTGGAGCCACTGATGCCCGTTTCATCCTCCTCGTCGTCCTCGGCTTGCCTCTTCTCAACTTCGGCCACTTTGCATTGACCCGACTCGACATAGTACCCACGTGGCCCACACGTGATCTCGTTTGGTGCTGTTAGGATCTGTGTGAGCAACACCTGAGCCTCCTTGAAGAGTTCCTTCGCCTCCGGCAGGCGTTCGTCTTGCAGGCAGACATCAATCGCCAAGGCAAGCGTGCAGATCGGTATCTCGTAGTGCCTTTGACGCAGCCAGGCGACTGCCCGAAGTGCTAGGTCCGTGAAGCCACGGCGATGGAAGATGGAGACCATCGAACAGCAGGTGCGGCCAACCTCCATGTCCGGCCAGGCCTGACACAGACTTTCCATCCACCCAAGCGCGGAAAACATTCGGGCGGCAGCCTCAGCTACGCCGTCGGCTGTTACCGCCGCGAGGCCTGTCCCTAGCTTCGACACCAGCCGAAGGCAGCGATGAGAGTCAGGCATCTGACCCCGCGCTACCATGTCACGCATGACCATGGCGGCCGGAACCCCCGCAAGCTCAGGCGGGAATGCAGCTGCCATTACGGCGGGGCCTGCTCAGCATCGTTGAGCCAACCTCTCGCTGCTTCAAAGAATCGCTGTCGAACCGGAGCTTTGCCTTCCCCTGCTGCAGTCCGTGATCCTAGTGGACAACAAGCCGTTTATAAAGATGCCTTCCGCTGTCACTGAAGCCGCCTTCAGCGGCCCCTGGATCCGAATCACTGAGTCCGGCACCATTGGCGACTTGCGGCACGCATGCAATCATGTTCCCCGAATTTCATGGCCTTCCCAAGCCAACTCTTGTAGCATAAACAGAATTTGAAGCTTCTTCGAAGCTTCTTTCTGTCTGGATTTGCGACTTTGAGAAGACGGCACAGCGCCTTTGTTTCAGACACTCACGGTCTACCTACCGGACCGGTTACAAGTAGGAAAGGCGCTTCGTGCGATTCTCGTGCATCTCTCAAGGAAAAAGTCAGCCGATGACGCTCGCTTTGCTGCCAGGCCGTGACACCAACGGCGGAACCTTTACATCCGGCATCGTGGCCTCAGGGCAGCCGTCCCACAGCGAGGCTAGGATTGTCCACACGCAAGTCTCTGCATTGCCCTCTGCGGTTTGGCTGTGATCCATGGACCCTGGAAGGCAACAACAACAACAACACGTCGGTTCGACTTGAGTGCTCCAGAGTGGCAGTCTTCTTCTTCTTCCGCATAACAACCTCGACTTCTCCGCTTCTACATGCCAATATTCAGCACGAAGCTAGCAAAAGCCCCGTCTCTTGCTCTTTGCCGCCCTGCGACTGGCAAATCTGGCTCCCCAGCGGCATTCAGCGTTATTGGTCTCGGTAGGGGCAGCCTGGCTGATCTGGGACTCGAGCTTCGAACTGTTGCGGCATAAAGCCGGGTGCAAAGCTGAACTGGCTGGCTCCGAGACACTGGCTTCAGGACCGACTCCCGCAGCTCTGCAAGAGTCTCCGTAGCTCTCTCCTGTGAAGAGACAGGGCTTGAAAGCTCGCTGTCGAGCTCCCCGGCGTGTACTCGCGCCTTGCCCTTGCCGTCGCTGGACCGTGCGCTGGACAGCCTAGGCACGGCAGCTTTGCAGGTCTATGCTGGATCGCCACCTGAAAGTCAACTGCTGCATGCACCCTGAGGAGCATGAGCTTTGCAGCTATGGCACTCTTCCTTCGGCCCCAAGCGTGCTGGGAGGGTGGCCTCTTTCAAAAAGTGTGGAATGCTGACCAAACGAAGAGACACAGCAGGGTGACCGCCCAGAACGGAAGCCAGAAAAAAGTCCGACAACCCCAACCCGGGACCTGAATGATTAGCCTCTCCTTATTCTTCTCGAACCCATCACCCAGTACTCGGAGGTGACAACGTGAACTTGTATGCGAGAAGCGAGCTTGCGATCGCGGCGCCGGTGGACCTGCCAGATGTGATCAATAAAGGCATAGTCATGCATAGTCTAGACTTGCTCGGTGGATGCAGACAACAAGGCGGACCGAGGAGATCCAGATGGCAACAGTGCAGAGCAGTTGCCCTGTTCCAACAACTTCCCTGACAAGAACTGCATCTGCATGTGTTTTTCCCTCACGGCCAAAACAAACTGCGCCTTGGGCAGCACCTCTTGCAGTCGGTCGACCTGCGAGGATCAAGAACTCCGGAAACGGCCACGGTTGCACATCCAATAACAGCAATCGACCTGGGGCTCCTCCCCCTCTTCCTCTTCGGCGCACGCTGTGTCATCCGCCGTCTCCGTGGGAGGGGCGGGCAGCCTGAGTTCACGAAGCTCTGATGTAAGTCGTGCTTCGACATGGCTATGCAAAGCCAAGACTCTGTGGCAGCGACTGCGCAAATGTCCACTCCAAACCCTGCCGCTTCACTGCGGCCACCGTCCTGCGTGGTGCAGTGGTGCATCGGGGCCACGGGAGAGAAGGGATATCTGGCTCTGGATCTGTCCTCAGCCGAGAGCCACGTGAAGGTGTGAAGTAGGCACCTCTGCGAGCCACTGCGAGCCCGGACTCAAGGCTCAAGTTCAAGACGACGTATACGACGTGTTGCCCAGTCATGGCAATGCTTTTGAAAACGCTGTGTTTTTTGTCGCTTTTTCGGCAAGATTCGGCAAGATCTTCTCATCCAGGCTGTGGCTCTGGGCTCTGCCGGAATGGGCTCCCTCGTCCCTCGTCTTCCATCAGCGTCGCGGTGCATGCAGCGATCGCACGAAAGCTGAAGCGGCGATCGCCTCTCGGATGCGAACATTTCTTCCTGGACATCTCAGAGTGGTCCATTTCTGCAGCGCCGCCGTTTCGCGAAATCTCGGAGCGCCAATCGCTTCGCGGTTCCGTGAGGCCTTGCCGCACCTCAAGGACCCCTCTCTTGCGTTGATTGGTCTTTGGCTGCAGCTTCAAAAGACCACAGGAGCGTTCTTGTTTTGCTCGACCGTGGACGCCGTTTGTCGGCGTCAAAACACATTCAACACATCATCGAGCATCCCCTTCACGTCAGCAAGACAAGATGTGACTTTGCACGAGCTTACCAACTCGCCCCTGTGCAGGTCCGAATGCCTTGTAGGTGGGCACCAGAGATCCTCGGCAGTCATGACAAAATGCAGGAGGGCAGCTCAAGATCAAGTCAACATGCGCGATACGCATGCCAAGTGCTCGCAATGCTTCGTCTGGCATTTCAAGTCCACGCCCTTCAGCTGCCACGCCTTCACTGAACCTGAGCTGTCTTCAATCCTTGATGAACCCAATGACAAAAGTCAGCCTGGAGAAACGACAGCTTCTGAGGGCCCCCACTCGCCGTCTGGCGAGAACCGGGGAGCAAGGCTTCATCGATGTAAACCAAGGGGTTTGGCATCTCTATGGCAACACCTGAATGTCTGCGGCAACATCCGCTTCGACATGTACCTGTAGCAAGGGGCGTTCGGTGCAGCCTGGAAACACGGATGCTGACATGCTGTTCCACACTGGACTATGACACGGACAGTCTCTTTTCAGCACATTGGCACGTCGACTCCTAAAAAGAAAAATGTACAAGCGCAGCATGCACAAAGGCAGTAATCACCTGCTGCACTTAAGATGAGATGCTTGTAGATGCCTTCAGCGAGCTCAAATCAACTAGCACTTGCAACGTCCATGCCACATGCTCAGAGCTGAGCTCCACTGTACAGATGGCATGGGGCATGGACTTTCTTTTTGCATTCGCTGTGAAACACATGCATTATGGAGCCGGGTCCACCACAAAGGAGTCTAGATCTTCAACACAGACCAGAGATGCCTCGGTTTGTGCGCCAGGATACTGCGCAGTGTGCACTGTATACCACCGACACGTCCTAACAGCACAAACGAGGTGGCCTGCATATCCTACAGTATGACTGATGCTGGGAACAAGGCAGCCTCCCTGTTGAGCCGGCTCCTGACAACCTCGGCATGTTTGCACCACCACGAAAAGTTGGTCCATGCGACTCCAAGCGGCCTTCTCGTAGTTCAGCATCGCATCCTGAGGATCCACATGCACGGTTTCCCAGGTTCACCGCTAGGACGAAATAGGACTGCGGCGTCGCTGGCCACGTCCAAAGCCTCCGCCTGGCTATGGACACCGCGGCTAACAAGCAGCATCTCTTGCGCTGGTGGATGCTTGGGATTCGTTAGTCGTACGATAGGACACCGCTGTGCTGATAGTTTGTGATGTTTGTCAACCGAGCAGTATGTCACACGCTGTTCTTGCGGGTCCGCGGACAACCATTCCGTGACCGATATTTTCGGTGCCTTTCGGAATGCCGCAGCCGCTGCGGCTTTCGCCTCTTCGGCAGCAGCCTCCGTGTCCTCCTCCTCCTCACGGCAGCAGCATGGTGTCTTGGTGCACAGGTGAGTATTTGGCTATGGGTTGACTGGGTTGACCTACTGTGTGATGGATGCTGCAGGTCAGACTATCACCAAGCAAGATGACAACTCGGCTCGGAAGTAGCCGCGACGAGTCCGAATCATCCGATTCAGCGGCTAGGCACGTCTTGCAGAGTGTGACAGGGCGTGTTCGGGCTGTGAGATGGGACCGATTCCCGCTTCTCGGCTGCCTGCTCCTGGAGCTGGGCATACTGTGCCTGCACAAGCACTGCACTCGCACATTCATTCGCTCTGTCTTGCTCTTGCTCGCTTGCTTGCAAGGGATGGGGACGAATCCCCAGGCCCTGTTTCTCTTTGCTTTGCCCCTCTTTCTCTCTTCCACAGGGTCAGGGGAGCTGGTCAGGCCGACGGTCTTCCTCCACACAGTCAGGGAGAAAGCTGAAAGCCCCCTCCCGCGCGCGCGCACATGCGCGCCCTGTCTGATGTCATCGGTCTGGCTACCATATTAGATGAGGCCTGCTGTGCTGCAACTCTTGAAGCCCCTATACCTAAGCTAAAAACCCCCAGGCCTCATCTTGTGAGAAGTAACTGGAATGCACACTCGCTCTGTATTGGAAGCTTGCAACTCGCATGCTCGGCCTCTCTCTCTCTCTCTCTCTCCCCAGTCGCTCTGTTGCGTGCCAGGGGTATGGGACCCGAAGTCTCTGGGTGTCGTCACTCTTCCGTGCAGTCAAAGGGCAGTGCACACGCACCGCTTTGGCAATCATGCACCCTATTCCCTCGTCTCAGTGTGACACGTCGTGCTGTGCTGATCTTCCAAAGCCTCGCACCCCGTAGCCCGGTTGCTGTTCCACTACATGTTGGCTAAGCCTTAGCTAAGCGACAAGATCCCTTCGGAGGCCCGGGCGACTGCAATGCTTTCCTTGTTCTCTCTCGTCGGTTTTAGTTTTCCTGCCTGTTGAGTCATGCTTCAGGATCTTTTCTTCCCTCGTTCTGCGTGCAGGGCAGTTGGGGCCCAGGGGTGGCCAAAGGCTTCTGCGTCACGCAGTCAAACAGTTTGCGAGATCGTTGGCCGGCCGAAAGGGTGCTGTCAAATTGTTTCTGAACTTGGTGGATCGCACTTTTTGAACAACAACTTCTCAGGGGCTGAGAAGTTGTGGAGAAGACCTGGCTGTGGCAACGTCTGCAACTTGTCGCACATTGCCCAGGCAATCAGAGCATATCAGAGCCACCCCCTGGATCCCCCTCACAAGCTCGGGCACGCATGCGACTCTGTCTTTCATGAGCGGCTGCTGCTGTCAAGCTGCCATGAGCTGCTCGACTAGATTGTGGGAGCTGTCAGGCAGGTGGCCAGCATACTCGCCCTCGGTCACCGGAGCAACCAAGAAAGATCAAGTCAGCAGAGGCTGGTTCAGGCTGTGGCTATGAGGCGGGGCTTCTGACGAGGTCCGTTGCGAGCTTGGCTTTCGCAGTTGCCTTCAACAGCTGCGCCGCAAGAGCCAAGAGAGCCTTTCCTCTTTCCCCAAGGCACCGGCCTTCTTCAGCAGCCTGAGGCTACGCTTTTGGAAAGGGCTCTAAAGTCTAAAGATGGTCGGCTGAGGCATCAGCCCGGTCGCTTGCTGGACTGGCGCTGCCTGGAAGTTCCTTGCGTGCCTTCAGCACGAGCCATGGTGTTACTCCTTCGCACCTAGCAGACCTAACATCTGAGGCCGCGACCTCCTCTGAGTCCATGGGGCTAAGGTCCTGGACCGGCGCAGCTCAGCAGAGATCTTGGGAAGCATGAGTCACAGGGAAAGTCCTCGTCGGCTTCTGCCCTGGATCGGAACCGATCCTGCAATCGCCATTGCTATTTGTATCTGCTTCGGTCGCGATCTGGAGTGGTGGACCAGCTGACCAGGCGCAATGAGTACAGCTTTTCCTCCATGTGACGTCCTCACTTCTTGGATCTTCGTGGTCTCTGACGTAAACAGACCAGCTGCTCAGACAGATGTCAACCTCTACTGACAGCCGGAAATCTATCATCATGCCCTGATCAGCATGAATCGGATTCGCAGCCCCTCATTCTCTGAATTTCAGCTGCGACGTGTGCACACGATTCAGCTGGGCCGCACAAGATGCTGCATGGGTATGTTCTGCCGCAACTGAAATTTGCACAGCCGAGTCGTACGGCATTGAGGCATCGTCTGTTGTGAAACACTGGCACGCGAGAAACATCTGCTTGTAGATGGAAGCAACTCCATGGTTGACATGTCGTGCGAAACTGCATCGCCGAAGAACGGGGAACCGCTGGCAAGGAGCTGCCACATCAACATCTGCAGCTGAATGTCTCTTGCGCCGGTGCCTTTGTACTTCGTACATGGGTGAAGCAGAATTTGGTTGGGCTCTGTACAGCTCTAGCAGCCCAGACTTCCGACCGCAGTCCCTGCCGGCTGGCTTCGCCCACTTGGCTGCTTATCATCCTGCACATTATTATGATGACGCAAACCGAGCTCGCGAGGCGCTGAGCCATCGGCTGGTGGATTTTGTCACTTTGCGCCTGGATTTTGTCACTCTGGGACCCGAAAAGGCGCAACCAAACACAAGTGGCTCCCATGGCCCTGCCCCGACAACAGCAGCGACAACTTGTCGATGGGCGCGCGCGTGTGCCCGGCGGAGGTCAGGTGATGAGGTCAGAAGAAGAACGAGCCTCAGGCTGAAACCAGGAGCCAGACACAAAGCGAGCAAATTTCTGCCGGCAGGATACCGAAAGATGGAACTCCCATTCCCATCCTCATGGGACGGCGACCCTGCAGAAAGAAGCACGTTGCATCCGTCGCGATGAGTGCCAACCCGGCTGAATTTCCCTGGCCTCGTCAGGAATGAGTCGTGCCTTCTTGGCTGCATCAGGCGTAAACAGCTCCATCTCAACTTCGTCTTCCTTGCTCGTGGCCTTAGTTTCCCGAACACGGCTGGCAAAGCAGCTTGCAAAAGGTTCGGTAGAATTGTCTCCAGACTGCCAAAGTGCTTTGCGTTTCTGGCCGATGACTGCTGGCTCAGCTCCTTGTCGTAGAAGCTGCCGGTACACCCGATCGGACTCGGATGTTCCATTGCCGCCTGCCAATATTGGAAGGCAGTCCGATCATGCTGCTGGCCAGTGCTGCCTGCATCACGGCGTCCATGGAAGCCAGCCTGCACACATGTCCTATTCTTAGGATGTCAAACCACTGATTCACAAGTAGATCAAGTAGTTGCCTCCTGGTCCGAAGAATCCTCGTGCTCCGAGTCATCTACGTCTTCCACGTCCACATCGTCCCACATCTCCTGGCATGTGCCGGTCTCCATGAACCAGATGCGATCCCAGTCCCTTCCAAAAACTGCTTGGCTATACAGTCCTCGCTGTCATCCAGGCAACCCGTATCGTGAGGCTGTGGGTGATCAGCTTTGCGCTTCGCGCCTCAGTGCATCTTATCTTGCTCGAGCCTCTGTGCCATAACCGTGCTCTGTAGGGGGTAGCCGTGGAGAGCCCTCAAGTTACGCTAAAAGGGCCCCTAGCCCACGCCTGAAGCCTCGTTCCTTTGTCAGCTTGACGAGCTGTTCAACCAGATCCGATCTGCCTCGTCGAGATCGCTGCGATGATTCGGCCCGACCTGCATCCTGCACGAGGCCGCGCCGGCGCAGGAGCCCAAAAGGGGACCAAAAGAGTTCTGGCTGCCACCAAAGCACCCGGTGCTTTCTCTTGGCCGCCTTGGCCTTCGGCTCCTTGGGCTGCGGCTCTGAAGCTCTTTGGGTGTCGGCCCTTCGGCCCCTGCAGCAGAGGTCCGAAAAAACGCAGTGAGCAACGAAGACAAACCTGCCTACCCCGGGGATGGCCCATGGCCGGGCTGTCGTGCTCTCGGAGCACACCGAGCCGAGATGGCTCGAATCGTTAGAGATCGCTCGTTCATGGCTACTACCGCTTCCCAATCAATCCGCGACCAAGCATGAGGTGACTGATGCGCCTGCAAGTGCAGAAGGCGGATACCTGTCTCTTAGCCGTGTGTTCCCAGCCCGTCCCCTGACTTCTGCATCTGCGTAACCAGGAATAACGGAATTGTGAGATGCTGAGCTGAGCACACTCAGCATCTGTGGGGCCAGGAGGCTCCTTTGAAACCTCCGCCCGTGCATGCACAGCTGAAGGTGTTCGTTTCTGCAGAATGCAGGTCGTCTCTAGTTTTGTCGGCCTAGATACTTTCACCGGAGCAACACATCGAACTTATACTCACACGGGCCAAGGAAGAGGAATGTGATCTGAAGTGGGCAGCAGGTTTAGACTGTGACAAACTCGAACAAGACAGAGGCTACACGAGATTAAAAACTCATAGTAAGACCCCACTCCTTGCTCACGGCTCCCGTCGCCAGCAGAATGTAAACTTACCAACTGCGATCATCCCGTCTGGCAGAACAAGGGCCCTCGCATCTAGCTCGCGCCCATCAGCTCACTAGCCAGCCCAGAACTCGTGAACAGCATGCCCGCAGGTTGTACTTGGAGAAAAGTTTGAGGCCCGAGTTTAGCTTGTCAAGCCTCCCTGAGACTGCGTTTAAGCGATTAGTCTTAGCAAAACTTTTGCAACCAGCAGCCCTAGCCGAGGCTGCTGCCGGTCCGGCCACTGCTTTGGATGCTGCGCGAACCTTACCGGCAAAGGACATCCCCCGACTATTGCGTGGCATAACTCGCAGAGGGAAGCGAAACTGCAGGCACGTTGCAGCCATGTGCGCAGCGAGCAGGGATTGCTCATGCGCCCGCTCCTGGCACAGACCAACACAGAGCATGCACCTGGAGATAGCCAGAGCCAACGAGCAATGAAGATATGTCAGCAGCGCCAACAGCCAGTCTTCCTGCAGTTTTGCCATTGATCAGGGCAAGCTACAGTAGACAAGGATTCCAGGTGAGCCAACTTCACTCGCACCACTGGTGGCCTTTTGATGCTCACAGCGCATTTTCATGTAGCGCTGCTGGACCTGCGAAACTGCCATGATCACCAGCAGCTATTGCCGCCGATTGTGCCTAAGTCTCTTTAAGGACCTCTAGACTCTAGCACTCTAGCAAAAATGCACATGTGCGCAGGTCTGTTGAACCGTGGCCTTGTGCTCCTGATCAAGCTTTGACATGTTCACGGCTGCTTTCGTACCTGAGCGATAAGCCACCTTTCCACAACTTCGCACTGCAGGAATCTGAAAGCTGTTGAACTCGAGTAGGGCACTCTGAAGCCTTTTGAGGAGGCGTTGGTTCTCTTCGTCTATGCGCTTCAACTCCCGAACTCGAGCTGAAACCTCGGAAGGCCAAAGTCCTTCAGCTACTAAGAAACAGGCTTTGGCATTTGTGGCTGCATCTTTTTTGCGTGCATCACATGCAGCATCCATCGGAGTGAGACGAGCTCGGGCAGTCTTTGGCCAGAAACACATGCAGGGAATCCGACAAGCCTTTCTACAACTTCTGTGCAGACCCTCAAGTCAGCTGTGTTGAATTCGGTTGCTCCGTTTTGCCACCGGAACTGCCCTTGTGTGTTGGAGCGTTCACTCCATCCAAAGCTTTGCTGCATCTCCCGAGATCGAAATCACAGCGTACGCCCGGCGTTTGTCCTGGTTGGCACAGCCCCACACCGAGTAATCCGAGTAACCATTCCGGTGTAGAGTGTAGGATGGCCCAGACATGAAAGCAAAAAGCGGAAGGGACTGTGGTCTCTGGGACACAGCCCGATGCAATGCCTCCCTTCCTGAAGAGTGCCCCGACATGCCCTGACCTGACCTCACGAAGGAACAGGTTATTGATGCGATAGCCAAGCAAAGCATCACCGCCTCAGTGTACTGCATGCAGAGCAGCGGGACTCGACCTACTTGTTGTCACACTGTGAATCTGAGCTGCAAGCCCACCGCCAGAACGTGGGCTTTTGCTGTCAGAAGCGCTTCTGCAACAAATTGGTGGTAAAACACCTGCAGCGTCACAGCGATACTAGCTGGTGCACGAGACATGAGCTGAGAAGGGCGCCTGTAGTGACTCGAACTGGCGCGTAACATTCACGGTCCTGGTGCAGGGCTCAATGTAGCCTTCTCCAGTTCGGACATGTAGGCATGAAGTAGTCACCCGTAAGCAGGTAAGGCCAGGCACTCTTTGATCATGTGGACAGTGACCAGGCCACAGTACCTCTCAACCTGTTATGCTCCATGTAAGAAGACCAGTGATGACCAGTGGTGCATTGAAACACACGAACTTCCCATACTGCACCTGGCAGTAGGGGATAGAACTCAAAGCTGACACCAGGACAGGCTTGTCCGCCTGAAACCAGGGCGTTTGACCCTTTTGGATGCAGGGGCTGTCACAGGCACGAAATCAAAGCTGCTGGCCTCCAAGCTCTCTCCATCCGCGACCCACTCGTGGGCAGCCCCATGCCTGCAGCTGATTCCTCTGTTCAACTACACATGTCACATGGATTGTTCTGGCACCGGCATAGGTCCACACATTTGCACAGATCTGTGATTCGTGGAGGATAAGAAAATGTCTTTTGGGCAAGGGACTCGAGCTTGCTTTGTCCCACCATGGGGGCATTAGAGAGAACGGCTGTTGAAGAAAATGCGAGGTTGGTATAAGGTGTGCAGAACATGCTCCTTTTGCTGCTGTGCTTGAAAGCATATCATATCCCTGTCGCTGCACGGTGGGCGTTCGTGTCTGAGTCGGCCTGACACAGGAAAGGACCCAACTGCATGTGAAAGCGAAACACGATAGATCACGATAACTGCTGCTGTAGTATTGCATTGTACTCCCCGGGTTCTCTCTTCTTGCGACAGGAAGCTGGTCAAGCCACCCAATGAGACCCTCTTTCTCTGTCTCTCGCTCACTTGCTTGCTCAGCGCGCGCGCTCTCTCTCTCTCTCTGCGGTTGGCTCGCTCTCCGGCTGCTGAGTCGCACTGGGATTAAATGCGAGAATGCCGTCCAAGCCATCTAGTAGGGTCGGCCGCAGTTTTGCCCTCTGCCACTTGCCTGTGGCATCCTTCGGCAAGGTCGGCCACTTGTTCAGCTGCATCATCAACGAGTAGGTGTCGTGGACGAATCGCTCGCAGCGAGCCCTGCCACCTGCAGGCGCATTTGATTCTGAAAAGGTTTGGTGTGCCTGGCCACTTCAGGACTTTGCCTGCTCGGCTGCTTCAGGTGGAGTGTGTGCCACCTTCGCAGCGCGGAGTTTCCGCTCTTCGAGTGCGATCCGAACTGGCATACCAAGCTGTGCGGCAGAAGGTCGCGGGTCGTGATCCCCACGGGAGCCTGGGCATCTCCGGCATCAAGCGATCAAGCGTGCGCGAGCCCCCCCCCTCCCAGCCAGTGGCGATCCTGACCACAGGGCCGTGTCGACATGTCGGCCGCCTCCTGAGCTGCTTCGCCGAACAGAGGCCGTTTTGAGCCATGGCAGCAATGCCTCCCCAGTACCCCCAGCAGCGGCCGAAGATGTGGCACCATGGCCATGGCTACGCCAAGGTTTGCCTTCGAGTGGAAGCAGCAACATGGCACTTGAGAACAAGCACGCAGCCTTCACTTGGGGTGCTCATCTCCGCCAGCCGTTGCCCAGTCAGCACCAGCTCAATCACGTCATCCTTGCAAACTTGCCATCCAGGACCCTCCATCGTGCAGCTGACCCCAAGAACCTCGAGAACAGCAATGCGCCAAGAGAGCGCAGCCAGGCAACAGAGTGTGCAACCTGTCGAAGGGAAGCGTATTGCCAGATAGCATTCACTGCGAGACAAACTAATTACGCGACCTGCTCGCCATGAGTGAGGACTTTGAATCTATCTTGAAAATGACAACACTTGCCGATCGTACCTCTGCTGACCATCTCCCGGAACAGCATGCAAGCATACATCTCTGTCAGCACCTCAACAGAGCAGAGCTGAGCTCCACAAATGCGTCACGAACTACTCGCAGTGTGGAGATGGGTTGTGGGCTCAATGCCCAAGATGGCTAAGCATTTAGCCTACATGGTTCATTTCTGTCTGCAGCACTGTCTACGCATTAGCCATTGTGTTCTTGTCTACATACCTTATAAGACAACCCCGGAAAACCACATATGAGGGGGACAAATCCCGGCTTTCGTCAGCTGCGAGGTCAGCCGACGGGCACGAAGCATACATACATACATACATACATACATACATACATACACATGTTTATGCAGGTATGTAGGTATGTAGGTATGTATGTATAGATAGATAGATAGATAGATAGACAGATATATACTTATATGTACACAACACATCCATACGTGCAGACAAGTGGTCGGGCGTAAGGCGCCGTCACCGACAGCACTGTCGATTCTTAATTGCGAGGAAGACGCAGAGGCAAGCAGACGACCACCGAAATGGACGAAACAAACACAAGCAAGCTGATGTCCTTTGAGAGATCAGACACTTTTGCTGTATTCCTGCGCAAACCGGCCATGAAAAGCTTCTGAAAGCTACCCACGCATTCAACCTTATGCAGTGCCAATGCAGGGATTCTTATTAGAGCAGAAAGGGGCAAAACAAACACGAGCAGCATGGTCTCTCGATGAGGTACACAGACAGATTCCGGCCTTTCCAAGATGATGGGTCAGCCTCGCCGTGATCTGCACAGAGCCGGCGTGGGCCACGCAGGTGCCACGGTCCAGGCCTTCGCGTTACAAGCTGCATCTTCAGCTTCGAACCGTTTCAAACGTAGCCCCCCGGGGTCAGTGCCAGGGGTCACAATCGACGCAAATAATGCGCACAGAACCAGACCCTACTTAGGTTACTTAGACTTCGAAACACTGAGTTTCTCTCGGCGCAGCTCGCAACCAAGAAACCCAGGTCTTCGAAGAGATCCACGCGCCGGACCCCATAGACTGCCGAAGAAGTGTCCTGAAACGCATACTTGAATGGGACCCCTAAGGTCTTGCAGTTCCCAGTTGGAGCCTTCCACGCCCCAGTGGCAGATCTTGCAGGAGACCACCCCTGCAGTCCCGCATTTCAGCTGTCGCTAGCAATCGCATGTGCGACTATATGGCCCATATCGCCTCCGCAGGTTCATGGAACACATCCGTCCCATCAGGAGGGCAGTCCACCTGCACATTGCTTTGAAAAGTACAAAGCCACGACGCCTGCCGATAAGACACGGCACCGTGCAAAGAATGGCACTGTTAGGCACAAGGAGATCGTCCAGCACCATGAGCAGATCTTCATCCGCCTGGACCGACAAATGACAAAACCAGCACCAGAGCCTCTCTGTCATTTGCCGTGCTGCAGCTTTTGCCGCTTGCTCTCTTCTTCCACACAGACAAAGACAGGGGCATGCTCTCTTCTTCCTTCAGCTCAAAGGGGCGGGTCAGGCCCCCGGCCCTTAGGGCCCCCCATCTCTCTCTCTCTCTCTCTCTCTCTCTCTCTCTCTACCAGGTGGGGAGAGCTGGGGTAAGTCTGTCCCCACATCTCTCTCTGTCTCTCTCTCTCGCGGTCTTTTGCGCGGGCATAAGGAAAACCGAAGCCATTCGCTGCCGAGCACCGGAGCGATTGGTTCGAACTTCTTCTGCAATGTACATGTTGTAGATCTCCCGTGGACTTCGCTCTGCAAGCGAGCAAACACCATTGACTGAAGGACCAGCCCAGCCCCTAGGCTAGTTGCCTCTATGGCCCCTCGTAAGGAGGGTCGCCCGGTGCACGGTATCGGTCAATGGGGCTCCGAAGCGCATCCGACCCATAGTAACGACCGTTTCCTTCCAGCTCCCCGATAAGACCTGCCAGGCTGTGCTACTCTCGCTTAGAGTGGAGTTGACTCTCAAACTAGCAGGAAGGATGACAGCATCGGCATAAGTCAAAGACAACCGGTAGCGAATGAAGGACATGAAGTGAGACCACAATCCTTTCATCCGGGACACTCATGGAAGCACAGTCCCACACACCCGTAATGGCTGCAAGGGACCCTGTAGTGTCCTCGAGAAGACAAATCAGAAGATTGAAGTCCCACATGGACCCACCTCCAAATCAACCCGTAAAGGTGTCAGGGCGGGTGGAGCAAGTGCACCGACGATGATCGACTTCGAAAACGCTCGCTTTCAGGGCCTTACACCAACGAACCCCACAACGAAGAATCAAAAAAGTGAAGAAAACGGACGAGCGTCAGTGGATTGCTGCTTTGGTTCCTTCCTCAGGCGGCTTCGTGGCCCCCATGCCCCGGGTGATGTCCGTGAGGATGTACCCAGGTGTCATGGCGTTGATCTGGAGGGCTGGGCCGAAAGAGTCTAGCCGGGATAGGGAAATTTAGACTTGAGCGAAAGCACAAGAAGCCGGAACCTTGAGGTCGGGATGGAGCCGGGCCATGAGCATCGTGTAGGAAATGAGGCAGGCCTTCGACAAACCGTAGGGCTGCCGGCCGCGCGGCTCAGCGCCTGCCTCCTTCATGAAGTTATCCAGGGCTTCCCAGGTCACCTCTGGGTCCATGAGGAGCTGTCTCTCGTCCCCACTGGCGCGCGACACGTAATTGGGTCCCGATGCAGAAGCTGTGTTCACAATACGCCCGTCTTCTTGAAGCAGAGGCAAGAAAGCCTCGCAGACTCTTTTGGCGCCGTACGTGTTCACGTCCAGAGTCCGCTGCATTGAATGATCGAAACCAACGCCAGCATTGTTCACAATGCCATACAAGCTTGACTTTGCCCCATACTTCTGCTTCACCTCTTCAACTGCAGCACGAACAGAGGCATCATCGGAGACGTCGAGGGACAGCGTTTCCAGACGATCCGCGCCTAAGTGCCAGGAAGATGTCACTGTGTGCTTGCGACTGGATAACGATTGCAAACCGAAGTCATGTGATTTTTCAAGTCTGCTACAAAAACTTCTTCAGACAGGATGCATTCCTTGGGGCTCTTTTCCAAGATTGCACGCACGGCCTCCTCTCCACGGCCTGGATCCCGAGATCCGAGCAGCACGTGGAAGCCGTGGATTGCGACCAGCTGCTGGCAGAGAGCGCGCCCGATGCCCTTGTTGCCACCGGTGACGAGCACACGCCGCAGCGCCGGCAGCGCCATGGCTGGAGACCAAGGCCGTGCACATACAAAGACGCAAAGGCTCAAGGCCACGCAGAGACTGCCCCGACCCCGTAAGGTCCGCGACATAGCGCCACAAAGACTCCTCGTGTCTCGAGCCAGCATCACGAGAGCAGCGGGCTGCTTCTGATACTGATCCGAACGGAAACGTGAACCCTGAAACTAAATTCCTTGCTTTCCAGCCCAGGCTCTGCAGATCACATGTACGGAACTTCGGAAATGCTACCCCCGGCCTCGTCGTCTACCTGGATTGCATCACCGTAACACGCGGATGCTGCTGAGATTTGAAAAGACTTGACTCGACCCGCTTGGAAGCAGTGCAACTCGTTCGGTCCATGTGTCCGCCGTTCTGCTGCGACTTCACGGCAAGATACTCGAGATAAGGCCCAAACACCGCCACAAATAGACATCCAAGCCACAACCCAAAAAAAGCACATACCCCGACGAGAAAGACACCCTCTGGCCAGTGCCATGAGCTCCGCCGGAGAGTGGCCCCCTCTCCAAGGAAGGCCCTGTTTCTCACGTGCCACGTGGAGCTTGAAGCTTTCCCTGGGTTTTTGGCAAAAAGACTAATATGTTCCATTTAGGCTAGGAAAAACACAGAATTCCGTAGTGCTTCTCCAAAACCCAACTTTTTCCTGTTTAGACTAGGGGTCAACACTGAATTCCCTGGATTCTTGCCAGAAACCTAGTCTGTTCCATTTGGACTAGGAGAAAAACACCGACTTCTCCAGGTTCTAGCCAAAAGCTAGTCTGTTCCATTTGGATTAGGAGAGAACACAGAATTCCTTAGTTTCTCTTCAAAAACCTAGCCGGCTCTGTTTATAGACTAGGAGAAAACACAGACTTCCCTAGATTCTTTCCACAAACCCCAGTCTGTTCCATTTAGACTAGGACAACAACACCGAATGCCCCAGTTTTTAGCCAAAACCTTAGTCTGTTCCATTTAGGCTAGGAGAAAACACAGAATGCCCTAGTTTTCTCTCCAAAAACTTAATCTATTCTGTTTGGACTAGGAGAAAACACAGAGTTCCCTAGTTTCTCTACAAAAACCCAATCTATTATTTTTTATAAACCAGGAGAAAACACAAAATTTCTTAGATTCTTTCCAAAAACCCCGTCTGTTCCATTTTCGGCTACGAGAAAACATGAGAAAACGCCTTCCCTAGTTTCTGGCCAGAAACTTGATCTATTCTGTTGAGACTACGAGAAAACACACCGAATTCTCTACACAAACCAACTCTGTATCATTTAGCTAGTTGTTCCATTTAGACTAGGAGAAAACACAAACTCCTCTGGTGACTAGTGTCTCTTCAAAAACTTAGTCTGTTCTGCTTGGACGAAGTGAAAACACTGCGTTACCTAGATTCTTTCCGAAAACCCAATCTGTTCCACTTCCTTAGTTTCTAGGCAAAAAACTTAGTCTGTTTCATTTAAAATCAGGGAAAACACAGAATTCTCTAGTTTCTAGCCAACAACCTAGTTTATTCTGTTTAGACTACGAGAAAACACAGAATTCCCTAGGTTCTTTCCGAAAACCAAATCTGTTCCATTTACATTTGAACTAAGAGAAAACACTAACTTCCCTAATTTCTAGCCTAAAACCAAGTCTGTTCCAGTCAAGTGTTGACGTGCGGAAAACACCGAATTCCGTTAATTCCATTTACAGTAGGAGAAAAAAACACCGAATTCTTTGGATTCTTTGCCAACATCTCGTCTCTTCCATGTAGGCTAGGACGACAACACCGAACGCCGTAGTTTCTCGCCAAAACCCTGGTTTGTTCTAGTTGACTGGGAGAAAACACAGAATTCCCTTGTGTCTCTCCAAACCTAGTCTATTCTGTTTAGACCAGGAGAAAACACAGACTTCCCTAGATTCTTTCCACAAACCCCAGTCTGTTCCATTTAGACTAGGACAAAAACACCATATGCCTAGTCTGTTCCATTTAGGCTAGGAGAAAACACAGAATGCCCTAGTTTTCTTCAAACACCTAGTCTATTCTGTTTAGACTTGCGGAAACCACCGAATTCCGTAGATTCTGTCCAAGAAGCCCGTCTGTTCTCTTTAGAGTAGGAGAAGGCACCGAATTCCCTATTTTCTCTCCAAAAAAAGCTAGCCTATTCTGTCTAGACTAGGAAAGACACCGAATTCCCTAGATTCTTTACAAACATCTCGTCTGTTCCATGTAGACTAGGAGAAAACACGGAATTCCCTAGTTTATCTACAAAAACCTAATCTATTATTTTGTGATTTTCCTTTCAAATCTGTTCCAGTTACACTTAGACTAGGAGAAAACACTGACTTCCCTAGCTTCTCTCCAATAGTCTGTTCCATTTCGATTCTCACGCTCGCACTCGGCAGGCAAGGCTCCTCATAGTCTGTTCCATTTAGATTAGGGGAAAACACCGAATCCCTTAGACTCTTTCACAAAACTCGTCTGTTCCATTTAGACTCCGAGAACACACCGACTTCCCTAGTTTCTCTCTCCAAAACACCGAATTCCCTAGATTCTGTCTTAAAACCGACTCTGGTCCAGCTTAGACTACGATAGAACACCAACGTCCACGCTCTTTCTCACAACTCGGACAAGCCAGGCGAGGTTCACGGTGCGAGGTCGGCGTGACACAGGAAACAGCATCCCATCCAAACGGGAAGGATTGGTGTTTCTAATATTTAGCCAAAAGCTGGTCTGTTTCATTTAGGCAAAGAGACAACACCGACTTCCTTAGTTTCTCTCCAAAAACCTGGTCTACCGGGAGAAAACACAATTCCCTGGTTGCTCTCCAAAATCCTAGTCTAATCTGTTTTTTGTTGCCTCCCACCTGGCTAGGACGAACCTACGATGCAGGGTCAAATTGATGTTGACTGTTTATTCTCTTTGGGCTTGGGGAAAACACCGAATTCCCTGGAGCCTGTTCAAAATGCCAGTCTATTGCATTTAGACTGGGAGAAAACATCGAATTCGCTAGTTTCTCTCCAAACGCCTAGTCTATTCTGTTCAACCTAGTTAGATTTTTTTAAAGGAAACACCGATTTTCTTTCCTAGTCTTTGGCCAAAACACCGCATTTTCTAGATACTGTTCAAAAACCTGGAGCTAGTCTGCCGTTCGATTTAGACTAGGAGAAACACCGACTTCCCTAGTTTCTAGCCAAGATGCTAATCTGTTCCAGTTAGGCTAGGAGAAAACACATAATTCCCCAGTTTCTCTCCAAAACCCTAGTCTATTCTGCTTAGACACCGAACTCCGGGCGGTGCATTAAGCTTCAGTCTTGGGACCCTGCTCCCCGTACATGTACGCATCTCACTGTCGGATGTGATTAGTCGGTTCCGGTTTCTTTCACGTCGTTGATTTTCTGGTGTAGTTGCCGATTTTCTGTTTTGGTTGGCAGCGCGACATGGTCCAAGATATCAAACTCAGCCGCAGAACCTCGAAGAGGAAATGATGTCGGTCGTCCTGCAGATGGACACACCAAGCGAAGCAGTTGCACCAGGCCGGTTTACTATAGCGAAGTGTTGACGGCCTGCTGATGGCGAGTCTTGGAAGCTTCTCGCTCACCGCCTGCGCCACTTCTGCGATGAGACGCTATGTCACAAGCAGCCATTGACAAGGGGTGTACGCCGCAGGTGAATCAATCAAGGCCTTCAGTGGCTGTCTGCACTGCGAAAACCTGGCAGCTGCAAACCCGAAGTACAAGATGCTATGAACCCTGTACTACGTCAGCTCACTACGTTGCGCAGCGGATACCATGCCTCCCCGTCTTGACCCGACCTTTGTCGGCAGAGAGTCGCGCAAGTAAGCTGCAAAGCCTGGAGCTTGTCCTTGGCTCGCTCGCAACAGAGCACGGTCTACGATCCACAGGGCCTGCTCGGCTCATTGGCTCATTTCGGGAGTGCCAGGTTCACTACATGTCGCTTCACTTCCGCCGTGACATGCTTATTCCTATACCATACTTGCTTAAGCATGCCGCTCAGATCGACCCATGGCTAGGAAGCTAGAGACGAGCAATGGGTCCAGAGCAGAGGGTCCAACGGCCAATCGAAGGAATCTGCCACAGCAGGCTCTGAGCTGTCACCTTTGCGCCGTTGTAAATGGCAGGCCTGGGCTGAGAGCAGGTACAGATACGGGCCTCCCCGGCTCATGAAGCTCCCATGCTCTGATTCTCTCTAATCATTCTCATCGCTCATCTAAGACTATTTAAGGCAGGAGCCACCGCTTCATTCAGTCTCTCCAGCACTTCCGGTGTCGGCCGCATCGGATGAGAAACTGTGCTGGCAGCCAATGGCCGGCTGTGCCTCAACGACATGTCACACCTAATGTCCCCCATCAGCCGCACATGAAGACATCGAAGCTGATGAGAAACGAGCATGGTAAAAAGAAGTGCAGATGGCAAACGTTCGCACACGGTAACCCCCGTTTGCTTGCAGAGAAACCCCAGGTCTGGTCCAGCAACCGGCGCCGCCCCGAAGAAGCTACCTCAGAGAAGCTCGCCGCGGCCGGAAGTACCGAAGGCTACAGCGGCTCCCGGCTCCTTTGCAAGTTCACACCATCCGAAATCTTCGATTCGAGCCAGGTGACCCAGGAATCTTGGCATCCACTTCCTCCAGGCCCGTGACGGCCGCGAAGGCGGGCGATGCCTTGCTGGGCACAGCCTCGGCTCGGTTCGGGAGCGTCCAAAGTCGAGTCCAGGTTTGAGCCCTGCACGCAAGGCTGCGCCAGGAGTTTTTCTCGGTGGCCCCTTAGTGCAAGCCGTCTCCAAGACCGCATTGCAGCTGTGCACCATGTCGCCAAGGCGCCACCCTTTGTCGTCTGGCCCACGGAACGGCTGAAGCCACTCGCCGCGGACGTTCCCTTGGCAAACGCGAGCTTCGGCGAGGCCCGGCTTTTCTCCCAAACTCTTTACTTTGCTGCGCTGAACCTGCCAAGATAGCTTTTGCAATAAGCAGGGGTGCTTGCCTGAGTTATGAGTGATCCTGCGGCGCGATGCTCCTCCTCAGTCCTCGCGTTCTGTCCTGCACTCGCCTCTTTCCATTCATTCCTTCTTGTGCTTCTTCATTCTGCCTGTCGTGCTTTCTGCCGCTACTTCCCCGCTTCCTCCTTCCCTCTTTGATGTCTGGTCCTTTCATGTCCAGGATTTCATGTCCTCCCGGTTAACCAGCATGCCCGGAGTGCGGCCGTCAAACAAACAAAGATGCTGCCCCACCGAGCGGTGCTTTCGCATCGCCAAAGAATTTCAACACCACGGTGCCAGAACTGTCAGCAGCCAAGTGGCCATTGGTGGAGACGTGGGGTTGGCAGATGCCTCAACACAAGCAATTGACCATATCTGCAATTCAAAGACTATCCTGGAATGGAGGCAATTAAGCTGGAGGCATGGCTCATGGCATCCTGCTGAGCTCCTTCACAACTCTTGGCGTACTTGGCTGCAGAATGCCCTGACATCGACTGGCGCCTCGGAGCCACTGTGTGCCAGCTGCTTGTCGAGTCCGCATGCTCGGAGCGCTCGAGGCCGGTGTCTTGGCACCTACCTCGGCGATCGACGGCGACACTCTGTCGATGGGGACGAATTGGCACTGCATGATAGGCAGGACAGGCAGGGCCAGGATGTGGGAGTATGTGCTGATTCCATCGTCTCAGCTTTCGGCATTCGTGCGGAGACTCGTCCCACCCACCGTACGATGACCTCGGTACGCGTTCGGCAAGCTGCTTCTTGTGAAGCCTTTGTGCGTCGACGATGCGCCTGGGCCACAAGCCTTGACTCTTTGGAGCATCGCTTGGAGTGAAGGCTCGATTAAAGCGTCCAGGGTTGGCCCTGACCACCGGAGGCCGCGGCAGAGCAGGCACCTCAGACTACAAACATCCCTCAGCACTGCCAGCCCGGCTCCACGACCTCAGCAGAGCACCAAGACTCCAGTGGCCGTAGCAACTCCAATGAGCAACCTGCCAAAGCATGCAAAGCCAGACGATCCAAGCTGTTTAGCACCCTGCACATTCGACCTGGCACCTCGGTCCACACTAAGGGGAAGCCGCAAGAACGTTGAAAGGCTTTGCCGCCGCGGAGCGACGGACCGTTGGAGATCTCCACACGGAGGCCAAAGGCTGCATTCAGCCCCATGACCTCAGCTAAAACATTCCTGCATGCAAGGAAGTATAGCACAAAAGATGAGGAAGCAGCCCGCATCTTGTGCACCAGCCTCAGTGAAGTGCTTGGCGGTCTGCTGAGGGTCCCTTCCCGCCCTTGATCGGCTCAGCTTCGGTCTGCTTGTGCAGCTCTAACTCCAGGAAGGGTAATGCTTCTGAGAGGTCCTGATCGGAAGAACTACACTCCAGAACTGGAACAGCGCGGTACGTGGCGTTCTCCTGGGCATGCGCTTCACCGGTCACCTTCCGCTTGAGGCGCACCACGCGGGCCTCGACCAGCTCGCTCCTCCGCACTGCGCAACCCCGAAAAGGCACAGCAGCTTCAAAGCAAGAGGTCCTTCCAAGGATCGGCAGGCCCTCGGGGAAGTCCGAGGTCGCCTCGACTCAAAGCCGGCTTCGACCCTTCGGCTCGAAAAATACTTTCTTTTACTTTCTGCCGCGTGGCCAGGAGGACGTTCGGCACCAAGCCCTCCCCGCACCTGTCTTCCACCCCACTCTCCAGAACTCACTCTATGCTGCGCTTCTTTATTGCCCAGCCAAGGCACATGCAGCAACGAGACAAACGTCCTGCGTCATCGCGGCCTTGCTCCAACGAATGGACTTTGCCCTGGCCCACTGCCAATGCAATATGTCTTGAATCATATCTTAACTGTAAGGTCGCAGACTTTCGGAGGCATGAGCCAGGCTGCAGTCCTCTCAGCGCGCACATGGGAAATGCAAAAAAGAAGACTTGATGCACGTGCTCACATGCAGAGCGGCATGGTTGACATACTTCAGTCCGGCAAAGTAGGCACCGTCGTGGCAGTGTGCAGGTGCCGCAGTGCCGTCCCCGTCACCGAAAGCATCGCCACCTGTGACAGGTTCCAGCGAAGGCTGCAGATCCAACTCCTTAATCACAGTGCTGGGCTTCAGCTTGGAGCTTCTGACCTCGTCAGTGATGGACACGTGTTCTCGGTATCCAACCTCGGAACTTGAGCAGGTTAAGCAACATATCATTGCCTTGCTTTGAACCCTCCTCGAACAAATGAGTGCTCTTGCAATGGAATCGCCACCGAGAGCACGGGCCTCGAACTGCGCGGCCAAAGGGTCTGAAGCAATGCTGTGCTCATACAGCTGCGTCAGCAGGCTGTACCAAGGCTGTTCTATCTCCGTCGTGAGTTAAGTCCCGGACGTGCGACAGCAGCTCTTCCTGCAAGTCGGCCCACCTGAAAGCGCACGGGTTGCAGCCGCAATGCCCCACAACTACGACGAAGCGCTGCCAAGACACCACGACTCGCGACTGTCCTGCTGGAGACAGTCGTCTGATGCTACATCTTCCGATCCAACCGACACGGCTGTGGCTCTCCAATATCCGAGACTCTAAACTCTGTCAAAGGCCCCCTCCTGCGATGTGCGCGAGCTGAAAACCTTTACGGCACGGGCTGCCACGACGCCGCAGATTGCAACTCTCCTGTTAGCAGCAGAGGGGCCGATGATCTAGACTACCGATTTGCGTGTTAGTTCCATGCCGAGAATCTCAGCTACTGGAAGCCGGTCCAGGCAATGCAAGACACCTTCCACTGGCAAGGCACGGTGCCAGAGTTCGATCGGATTCTTGGTCGCGGAGTCGCAGGCCTCGCTGCAGCACCTCCACAGTCGGAGCCAAGGCATCCACTGCGCTGCCACCTCGGCGTGTGTTTAGCCGCAGGCATGCCAGGGTGCACACAACATTCGCCGCAGCCGTTGCTTGGGCCAGGACCGAGGCTGATTTCATCGCCTCGATAACGAAACAGAAAAAGGCGAGTACAGCTTGTTCCCAACTTAACTTGATTCACCATGAACAAGACAAAGAAGTCGTAACTGCATCGCAACGTTTTGATATCTGTTGTTGCGGAGAGTTCCGCACCTGCGGCTGAGTGCATCCGAGAGGCTGCTCCTTGTCACGGAAACGGCTTGGCTGAGGAGGGCATCCGAGGCCGCTCCGCCTGCTCCCAATGCACACGTACTCTCGTCAATGCCATGTTCACAATCTCAGGCGGTAGAAGCAAGTACGTGCAAGAACTTGCTCCAACCTGAAGTCGCAGGTAGAAGTGGCAGTGGTGGATACGCCCCTTCGATGTCTCCATCACGGCGTCGTGGTGACCGTCCAAGCTGGCACAGCGTGCGACATGGGCCCCGCCGGCATGTTCGATTGGGACCCACCTGGACCTCGAAGCTTCCCTGCCGTAGCCCGCTGACCATGCCGCCGGCCGCGCTGGTCGGCAGAATGCGCCTCAGGGCGCTTGGCTGCTTGGCAAGCCCCGCAGCTTTCGCAGGCAATCGGCTTCTGAGCACTGGGCGCAGCAGTGCCGAAGGCTCGGATGCAAATTCGATCTGTTGCCTTTGCCAGATGCAAAACTGTCTTGCGAACAACATCCGTGCCACCGTGCAAAAGGCCCCGACATCACCCTCGAGGTCGACATACTCGCGATACCCAAGCACTGCCTCAATTCAAGACGCCATCCCTTGAGGCCAACCGAAGCAGGCCGGATGAAGCTGCCGGCATTTGCACCGAGGCGTCTTACCTGAAAGTCAAGCAAAAGGTACGTTCTGCCCACCACCAGAGCATCCGATCTCACCTGCTTCCCGAGCTCTCGCCGTGCGCGCATCGCCGCATTGTGGAAGACCCTGCAAGGGATGCCACAGAGATTCCATGCAAGCGCACTGATTCATGCACTGGGTAGGCCGAGCTTCATGTCCAGTACGACGTGTCGGTGTTGATGGGTGCAAAGCTCAGTCTGCTAGGCAGCCTACGCCCTACATGTCTCGGTAGGCACGAAACCATGACTCCTTGCACCTTGCGCCTGGCTCGGTGAGTTCATGTGACATGTGACAAGCCGAATCCGAACACGCCTGAGGCGCTCCTCGTTGGACGAGCGGTCCGACCGAATGAGGTCACGCCAGTTGTACTCTGGGTCCTGGACTTAACTTGTCTTCAAATTACACCAGCGAAGACCCCAAACAGATTGCATCGAATCACGCCGGTTCAAGTTAGGTTATATTTTTGCGCAGAAGAAGTATGGGTTGTGATGACATCCGCACGGCAAGGAAGCATTCTTTTTTTTGGAAAAAAGAACGGCGTGTCCTAAATGTCTTGTTTGTGCAGCGCTCACAGTTATACAGAACATGCTCCCTGTTTTTGCAGCTGTGGCACAGATCATACGTTCGAAAACCTCCAGGGCCATCCGACCCAGGAGCCCAGAAAGAAGGAAACATTAAGGGAGCCCAGCGGGAGCCGAGCTTCTTGGCCGCGGACCACCCATCCGACCCAGGAGCCCAGAAAGGAAATACAATGCGAGCCCAGCTTCTTTGCT